GTGGCGGGTGTCTGTAGTCCCAGCTACTCAGGAGGCTGAGGCAAGAGAATTGCCTAAGCCCAGGAGTTGGAGGTTGCTGTAAGCTGTGACGCCACAGCACTCTACTGAGGGTGATAAAGTGAAACTCTATCTCTAAAAAAAAAGAAAAAAAGGGTCAGCACCTGTGGCTCAAGTGGCTAAGGCACCAGCCATACACACATGAGCTGGCATGTTCGAATCCAGCCGGGGCCTGCCAAAACAACAATGACGGTTGCAACCGAAAAATAGCTGGGCGTTGTGGCAGGGGTCTATAGTTCCAACTACTAGGAGGCAGAGGCAGGAGAATCACTTGAGCCCAGGAGTTGGAGGTTGATGTGAGCTGTGATGCCATGGCACTCTACCTGGGGGCGACAGCTTGAGGCTCTGTCTCCAAAAAAAAGAACTTGTGATTGAGAATTAGTAGTTACTGCATGTGTATGATGGAAGAACTGTATAGTGATGCATTACTGCCCATTCTCCCCAGCTCTTTCAGTTATAACTATTGTGGTAACATGAAATTGGCCATTGTAGGAGCACTTACCCCACAGAAAGCAGATGATGGCAAAACAAGGTTTGATTTATTGGTTTTTCAATTATCTAAACTTATGAAAGGATGGAAAACATTAATCTGCAGATTAAACTTAAAAGTGGGTCATGTCTGTGGCCATTCTAAGACTAGCACAGGAAATCAAGAAGTATTCTTCCCGGGAGGGGACTGGTGTGCTTTCACCTAATGAGCACAATGTACAGGTATATGGCACACCTCTTGGGTGACGGGCTCAACAACTGGGACTTTACCTAATAAATGCAAACAAGGTTACTTAATCATAAATGCCCTTATATTAATCTGAAAGAAAAAAAAAGAAATATTCTTCCAGTATTTAAAACTGGATCTGATTCAAGAAAGAAGTTGCTCACATCAATGGCAAATGAAGTTCTACTTCTTCTTTTTTTATTTTTTTTTTGAGACAGAGTCTCACTATATTGCCCTTGGTAGAGTGCTGTGGCGTCACAGCTCACAGCAACCTGAAACTCTTGGGCTTAAGTGATTCGCTTGCCTCAGCCTCCCAAGTAGCTGGGACTACAGGTATACCCCACCATGCCTGGCTAATTTAATTTTCTTTAGAGATGGGGGTCCCACTTGCTCAGGCTGGTCTTAAACTCCTGGCCTAAAGTGATACTCCCACCTCAGCCTCCCAAAGTGCTAGGACTGTAGGCATAAGCCACCACACCTGGCCTATCTATATATTCTTTGTATCAGCAAAATTTATAATATATTTACATACATATAAATGTGCACATTCCCTCCTCACCCCTGAAAGCTGACTATTAAATGTTTACCATTTAACAGTAAATGGGAAATACTCAGTTCTGCTCTCAAGGAGCATAAAAACACAAATGAAAGTTCCCATCTACCAACCAAGGCTCCTTGTCATCATCTAAAAACAGCAGTTCTCAACCTGTGGGTCGTGACCCTCAGGAACTGTATTAAAGGGCATTAGGAAGATTGAGAACCACTGACCTTAAACAAGAAATAAAAACACCTCTGGATTATCCTTTGCCCACATTCCAAATAATACATTGAACTGACCCATAGGAAACTACCAATATTCTACCATCTATGACCTATAAAAATAGAAATTTTACGAGGTTCAACCTAATATATACAAGGCCAGTTACTGTAGCAATTTTTTGTGATATCAGAAGAATGGAACCAACCCAAGTGTCCATCAATAGGGCACAGGTTAAATAAAGGATGTCCTACCCATATAGTGGAACATTACATAGCTATCAAAAAGAAAGAGGAAACATCTCTATACCAGTGAGGAAAAATGTCCCTAAGATGCTGTCAAGTTAAAAAAAGCAAAGTCCAGGAGCACTATAGTATGCCTGTCAACTTTGGAGGAAAAAGAAGAGGATGAAAATAAGAATCCATTTCATATTTACATGTAGAAAAATGTATACTGGGCTGAACAGTTTCTCTCCAGTTATTTATATCCAGCCAGAACCTCAGAATGCGATCTGATCTGAAAACAGGGACTGAGAAGATGTAATTGGCTATGTTAAGGTGAAGTCATGCTAGATTTTAGGTGGGCCCGAAATCCCCCATGACTAATACCTTTACAAGAGCAGAAGTAACAGAGACACACAGGGAGAAGGCCATGTGGAAACCAAGACAGAGACTGGAGTGATCCCTTCCAAGGAAGACGGCTGGCAACCCCCAGCAGCTAGAAGAAACAAGGAAGGACCCCTCACCCGAGCCCTCAGACATGGCCCTGCGGACACCTGGATTTTAGACTTCTAGCCTCCCCAACTCTGAAAGGATACATTTCTGTTGTTATAAGCCACACCCAGTTTGTGCTAACTTGTTAAAGTGGCCTTAGGAGGGCGGTGCCTGTAGCTCAGTGGGTAGGGCACCAGCTACATACATCAAGGCTGGCGGGTTCGAACCCAGCCGGGGCCTGCTAAACAACAATGACAACTGCAACAAAAAATAGCTGGGCGTTGTGGTGGGCACCTGTAGTCCCCTTCCACTTGGGAGGCTTAGGCAAAAGAATCACTTGAGCCCAAGAGTTTGAGGTTGCTGTGAACTGTGACATGACAGTACTCTACCGAGGGTGACAACTTGAGATTCTGTCTCAAAAAAAAAAGTAGTCTTAGGAAACTAATATACTCTGAAATTACATGAGTATGTAAGGAATCATAATGGGTTATCTGTTATTCAAAAATGAGAGGATGAGGGAAAGAAAGGAGAGTTTTGTTTTTTTTTTGAGACAGGTTTCCCCCCTGTTACCTAGGCTGGACTGCAGTGGCACCATCACAGCTCACAGCAACCTCGAACTTCAGGGCTCAAGCCACCTTCGACCTCAGCCTCTTGAATAGCTAACATGCCTGCCACCACTTGTCTGTCCCCAACCTTAGCCCACACGATGGGAAGGATGGGATTAGATATGCTGGGATCACATGCCCCTCCAGGGCCTCTTAACTTCTAGGAAAAGATTATATTCCCTGTTTCTTACCAAATCCCATTCACTTACTCCAGTTCTCCCTGTGCCCTCGGACCAGGGAAGGAAGAAGGAACAGAACCCCCATATCATTTCCCTACCTGTGCACATCCTGTTGCTTTAGATCTGGGCCTGGCCCACTCTCCTGTGTCCATTCCTTCTCCTGCTCATGCCCCAGCCCCAGCTGAACTGATCTGCCTCCTGGCCTCTGACTCACCACCTTGTCTCCACCTCCCGCCCCAGCACACACTATTCCCTCTATCTGAACTCCTCACACCCCCATTATACTGGCTCACTGCCACTGGGCCTTTAGGTCTAACATAGATATCCCTTCACCAATCATTTATGAGCACCTACTGAGTGCCAGGCTTTGCTCTGGCCACCTGGAACTGATGCACAGAAAGCCTACACTGACACCTTCCTCATGTGTCTTCAGCAGTGCCTTCTGCTTCTCCCATCACACCATCTCCCATTGCCTAGAAATGTGACTGTCACTTTCTACTCACTCTCCAAAGACAGATCAATTCTGCCAGTTTCAACTTTGCTTTTCTTTTAAGAGGTAGGGTTTTGCTCTGTTGCCCAGGCTGGAGTGCAGTGGTGCACTGCAACCCTGAACTCCCAGGCTCAAGTGATCCTCCTGCCTCAGCCTCCTGAGTAGCTGGAATATAGGTGTGCACCACCGTGCCTGGCTAATTTTTAAATTTTTTATAGAAATGAGGTCTGGCTATGTTGCCCAGGCTGGTCTCAAACTCCTGGCTTCAAGCAATGTTCCTGCCTCAGCCCCCCAAACCACTGGAATTGTAGGTGGGAGCCACCCCACCTGGCCAGTTTCAACTAACTTTGACGGACTTGCCCTGAGACCAGTGGCCAGGACATTTCTGTGCCATGCATAAACCTCCAGCCCAGGAGACAGGTGAATGAATGATCTCCTGGAAGGGAAGCAGGCAAGTGGTGGGGTGACCAGACTCCCCCCTCCTCCCTCACCTCCATGGAGACGTCCGCCAGGATGTGGTGGGGCAGCTGTGAGTACATGAGTCCCAGGCCCACGATGGCTTCCAGTTCGCCCAGGTCAGCTGCGTGCTCCAGATGGAAGACTGCTGACTCGCGGTCCCACTCCTCATCCTTCTCACAGAAGCGCCTGCCCTCATGGTAGCGTGTCATGGCCAGATGGACCTGCCACACAGACTTTGCTGTTGGCCCAGCAGTCTAAGAGGCCAGAGCTGCACCCCAAGGCCACCCAGCCAGCCTGGGGAGGAAGCACTTAGCAGAGGAGAGGTGTGAGCCAGGGACCTCTGGGTTAGTGCAGAGGGGACTCTGGAAATGGGCATCACCAATACCTTCCCCAGAATTGACTTCCCAATTTTCTTTTCAAGGTCCAGAGCATTAAGCCTTTGCACTTCCAAAGCCACAGCTGAAGCCCTTGGCAGGTGGAGGCGAGAAGAGTTGAGGAGATGCCACTTCTCCACGCAAACCTAAAAGGAGAGAACCAGCCAGAGAAGTGTGGGACTGGGGTGAGCCCATCATTATGCTTGTCAGCAGCCCCCACTACACAGGAGCCTGTCAAGAGGGGTAGAGAGTGAACCCTCATGGTATCAAAATTGTATTGGACAAATACATCTCCAGTTTTGGTTTTTTTTTTGAGATAGTCTCATTACGTTGCCCTTGGTAGAGTACCATGGAGTCACAGCTCACAGCAACCTCTAACTCCTGGGCTTAAGGGATTCTCTTGCCTCAGCCTCCCAAGTAGCTGGGACTATAGGCGCTCACCACAATGCCCGGCTATTTTTATTTTATTTATTTATTTATTTTGACTGGGGCTGGGTTTGAACCTGCCACTTCCAGTATATGAGGTGGGCGCCCTACTCCTTTGAGCCACAGGCACTGCCCTCGCCCAGCTAATTTTATGTTGTTGTTGCAGTTGTCATTGTTTAGCAGGTCTGGGCCAGGTTAGAATCCATCAGCCTTGGTGTACGTGGCCAGAACCCTAACCACTGAGTGACAGGCGCCAAGCCTACATCTCCAATTTTAACAGCTCAAATTCCACCAGCAACAGGACTCAGGGCTGGCAAAACAGACATTCAAGGAAGTGTTTCACTCTCATTTATCAATGTAGCAACTCCCTTTGCCAGCTCCCCATATAACGCACCAGAAGAGTCTGTCTTCACACCTTCCTGCTAATCCACTTTGCTTTCCTTTGCAAAATCACCATAATGCTATGGACAGCATCCACAGGAAGATGCAGAGAATGGGTTTAGAAGATACATCATTTCTCTCAGCCAAAGACATCCTGTCCAGCGGGTCTTGTAGGATAAAGCCAGGCAGCTGTGTGGGTGCCCGTATGTGTGCTATGATGCATAGGGCAGCCCCCACAGCAAAGAATGACCAGCTCAGAAGGCCAAAAGTGCCACAGTTGAGCAACTTTGCTCCACAAGAGCAGAGGAGACCCCAATACCCCCCCCCCACACACAAATCCCGTTAAATAATCGGTGTTCTGGGAGGAACAATTATCAAGCCTGCAGGGTGGGCAGTGGAGACTCTAGGAGGAGAAGCCACCAGGTTCCAGGCTTGGAGAGCAGGTAGGATTTGAGGAGTGATGACCAGAGGAGGAGGAAGGACCTTGTGAAGAGTGAGATTCCCCTTAGCAAGGCTTGGAGGTGAGAGGTTCAAAGCATGTTAGGGAATCAGCTAGAACAGTGGGCAGGTCACTCCCAGACTGGCCCAGTGATGACCATCACCTAAGATTCTTGTTGGACATATGAACATGAGACCCCAGTTCTCTCATCCATAGTATGGGGATCAGTAACATATCCCTGGGTGGCTGTAAGAAGTAAACTGATGTAATGCTGCAAGGTGCCTCTAAAGCAAGCAGGCAGGCACTTTACAACATGAGCCACAGCTGTTGTGATGTCCTTTCCTGCCCTAATCCACCCCACAAATCCCCTGGCATACTGTCCAGAGCACAGGCTCAAAAAGTATTTGCCGAGGGGATGTGTTCCTTTGCAAAATTTTCCTTTAGGACATGTAGACAGACCGGCAGGCAGCAGTGACACAAAGGAGGAGAAACAGCAACAGAGCCCGGAGGAGGTGGGCAGGCAGGCAGGGGTGCCCAGGATGCCAAGAGGTGCATTACCCGTCCAAAGCTGCCCAGGCTGTCTTCGTCAGACTCATACCGCCGACTGCTGTTGGAGTGACCCTGAATGGAGGCAGAGACGACAGTGATGCAAAGGGCAACAGTTTCCTGCCAAGAACCTCCTCCTGACAACCAGCTCCATCCTCCCAGGTCTGTCCAGCAGACAAGATGCTGGGTCACAGGCAGGAATGGTATGCAGGGGCAGCCACAGCCTCGTGGTCCCTCGCCCTGTGTGGACAGGTGGAACCGGATCCCACTACAAAGCCACTGGGGAAATGGTGCCAAGTCCTTCATTTAGACAAAGCTCTTACTGCATGTTTTATATTCACAATCATAAAGCTGAGATCAGATGCCTCCAAGCAAGACTGGCCCTGCAGTGCAGCCTTAATTTGGGCACATGGTAGTACAGCCTTTAAGTGGCTGACCCTCCTAGGATGCTGTGGGTAGGGGGCCTGAAGAAACTGACCCTGTGCCTTGAGGACAGGCCCTCTTCACCCTTGCCGGTGCTGGTCCTGCCTGTTACCCAGCATCCTCTCTTCTCCTGCCGTGCTGTAAGATCTGTCGGCCATTTTCAACCTTCTATCTAAGCTTCCTCACTTGCCCCCTGGCTGATCTACATGATCCTGTTTTATCTTCTCCCCTGCCTTTATCTTCATCTGAAGTAATCTTGTTTATTTTAATTTTGTCTTGTCTTCTCAGGACCCACTCATATTCCCCCTTCAGGAAGGGAAGTTTTTATCCTCCTGGAGTATAAAGGAGGCAACAGGGGACTCTGATCTCATCTCTTGTGGGTTCCTTACATGTTCTCGGAGCTCAGGGTCATCCAGCTCACCCCGCTTCTCACTGGGGTATCCACTGTCTCCACTAGTCTCAGAATCCTGTGGAGAGAAGTCAGAATTAGGATCCCAGTGGTCCTCCGAGTACCTGGGGACATCTGAACATTCTAATCACTGGCTTTCTCCCCTTTGTCCATCACCTCACTTAGCATCCTCTTCCTACTTGCCCCTTGCTGGCTGGGTGACAAGGGAGCAGTGAAAAGTGACAGTGAAGACCATGAGCTCTGGAGCCAGACTGCCTGGGCTGGAATCCTGGTTCTGGTACTTTCCAGCTCCAACCTTTGGGCAGTTGCTTACCCTCTCTGAACTTCAAGTGTCCTCAACAAATTGGACGCATTACAGCACCTACATCAAAGAGCTGGCTACAAGGATGAAACAGGGTGTTACGCTCTGAAAATGTGGATCTCAGTAAATGCTTTACTCAGGGTGACTCACCTATTTCACAGGTAGAAAAACAAAGGCTGGTTTCAAGTCTATGACCCATAGACAAAAATACAGCCTTGGGAACAATATTTACTACCAGAAAGCCCTCAACTAAAATGGCAAAGGCACCTGGGCATGTCTCTTATATTCCAGATCCGTGTTCTAGTCTGAAAGGGAGTCTGGTATAATTTGGAATCTCTAAAGCTTCAGTCATGTGCCTACCAACCGTGAGTTCCATCACTTCCTGCACATTGCCTGCCCCATTAGTTACTACAGCCCTCCCTAGGGACTGCCAGGATCCCATGCCTTGAGGCACTATTCTACTAAGAAGTATTTCAGACACATAAGTAAGCACCAAAGATTCTAAAACGAACTCTAATGCACCTACCACCTGACTCTGTCAACTCCTAACACTACAAATTACTTGAAATTTTTTATTTTTAAAAGAAACTAGGCTCGGCGCCTGTGGCTCAAGCGGCTAAGGCGCCAGCCACATACACCTAAGGTGGCGGGTTTGAATCCCCAGCCCGGGCCACCAAACAACAATGATGGCTGCAACCAAAAAATGGCCAGGCGTTGTGGCGGGCGCCTATAGTCCCAGCTACTTGGGAGGCTGAGGCAGGAGACTCGCTTGAGCCCAGGAGTTGGAGGTTGCTGTGAGCTGTAATGCCACAGCACTCTACCCAGGGGGATAGCTTGAGGCTCCGTCTCAAAAAAAGAAAAAAAAAGAAACTAAAATTTGGAACTCTGTGTGTCCCCTTCTCATCCTACTCTCTTTTCATTCAAGATAAAACCACTTTTGTGAATTTATGCTTCTTGATTTCATTGTATGTTACTTAAATTTTTTTTTTTTTTTTTTTTGAGACAGAGCCTCAAGCTGTCCCCTGGGTAGAGTGCCGTGGCATTACGGCTCACAGCAACTTCCAACTCCTGGGCTCAAGCGAGTCTCCTGCCTCAGCCTCCCAAGTAGCTGGGACCACAGGCGCCTGCCACAACGCCTGGCCATTTTTTGGTTGCAGCCGTCATTGTTGTTTGGCGGGTCTGGGCTGGGGATTCGAACCCGCCACCTTAGGTGTATGTGGCTGGCGCCTTTGCCCGTTGAGCTATAGGCGCCGAGCCAAAATATATTTTTTAAAGCAACTTGGTGTCACCAGAATAAACATGAAACCTGGATCACTCTTGTAGATAGCCAGGAACCATTCAAACACATACAATGAAATCCTGGGTCTCTGGTCTGGCCAGGGATCCACTCTAGTCCAAGGAGCTATGCTATCCTCAAAAGGCCCTCTCTACCTCTGTTTTGTGTGGACTAAAAGGCTGATGGGTGTTTTAAAAAACAATTTCAGCTTTTAAAAATTTTTTTTTGAGACAGAGTCTCACTTTGTCATCCTCAAGTACCATGGTTTCATAGCTCACAGCAATCTCAGACTCCTGGGCTCAAGTGACTATCTTGCCTCAGCCTCCCCAGCCTCTCGAGTAGCTGGGACTACAGGTGTCCTTCACAATGCCTGGCTATTTTTAGAGGCAGAGTCTTGCTCTAGCTCAGGCTGGTCTCCCACTTGTGAGCTCAGGCAATCTGCCCGTGTCGGCCTCCCAGAGTGCTGGGATTACAGGCATGAGCCAACACGCCCAGCAATTTCAACTTTTTAAATTAAGGTATAATTTATGTACAATAAAATTAAAGTGTTCATTTTGCTGAGACAAAGGCTGTTTTTGGGGGGTGGGGCTCAGATGACCCTCTTGCCTCATTCTCCTGAGTAGCTGGGACAACAGGTGCACACCACTGCACCTGGCTGTGAAAGGCTGTTTTTGAAAATGGATCACAAGCCCTACCCAGGAGTTCCACAACTTTGGGCACCTTGTCCTACTCTCCAGGGTCATTTCCAAGCTATAAGAATCTAGTTTTGAGGACAGGGTGCCATGAAGCATATATAACTCACATGTCTCTTGACCTATCTTTTTTTTTTTTTGAGAAAGAGTCTCAAGCTGTCGCCCTGGGTAGAGTGCTGTGGCATCACAGCTCACAGCAACCTCAAACTCTTGGGCTTAAACCAGCAGTTCTCAACTGGAAATCATGACCCACAGGAACTGTATTAAAGAGCCACAGCATTAGGAAGGTTTAGAACCACTGGCTTAAGCGATTCTCTTGCCTCAGGCTCCCAAGTAGCTGGGACTACAGGCACCCGCCACAATGCCCAGCTATTTTTTGTTGTTCTTGTTGCAGTTGTCATTGTTTTAGCTGGCCTGGGCTGGGTTCGAACCCACCAGCTTCAGTGTATGTGGCCAGCACCGTACCCACTGAGCTACGAGCACCGTCCTCTTGACCTAACAAAACATCATGGCCCCAAGGAAAAAAAAATTTTTTTCTAGCATGGCAGTCACTGTGCTAAACCCTAGCTCTGAAATCCTGACAAGATAGCCAACCTCTCCAAGCCTCAGTTTCCTCATCTGAGAAATGACATGAATACTTTCCCTAAGGAGAGGGGCAGGAGGCAGCAAAGGATGGTGAGTGTGGGGTCAGACAACCCTGGCTCCATTACTGGGTGACCTGGAGCAAGCAGCTTACCTCTCTTGTGCCTCAGTTTCCTCTTTTCTAAACCAGAGATAATGAGAGCAGCTGCTACCACTGGGGACAAGAAGCAGGCAGCAGAGGGCAGGGTGCAGGGGAAACTCGTCACCAGACTAATCCTTCTTGCCTTTTCCTTTTAACACATGAGGATGTATTTGTTACCTATTTTAAAATCCTAACATTTGTTCTAATTCTAGAATAAAACCTATTCTAGAAGAAATAAAAAATAAACATCTTGTAATGAGGGTTAAATGAGACCATCTACCAGGCTCATAGAGACAACTGGTCCGGCAGTTCTCTCATTATCTCTGGTTTCGAAAAGAGGAAACTGAGGCACAAGGGAGGTAAGCTGCTTGCTTACAGTCACCCAGTAATGGAGCCAGGGTTCAAACCAAGCTGTCTGACCCCACACTCACCACAGATGTATCGGCAATGATTATTTTTTTCTTCCACTCAAGAACTCTGAAAAGCAGCCAATAGTGAACTTGAACCTTTGGAACAATTTGAGAACACAGCTTTAAGTGTGCCTATGGCCTGTGCAAGTGTGATATTTCTGTAAAGCCTGTTTTTTTACAGAATTTGTAAGAAATTTTAACTTGACACGATAATATACATTTATATGAAGGTAGATATGATGTCTTCAGTTTCTTACCACTGAGTCAACCTGAAGCTATAGGAAACATTCTGTTTATCCAATCCAAGAGCATCATGGCTCACTGTGTTACATTTATAGATCTGAGACCAGTATAGGCCACTGATGAGACAACTGTCCACACACATGGCTAAACCAAACTTGGAGGTGAACCTGGCACTTACTAGAAGGTCGCACCTCTCAGTGGGTAGGGTGCTGGCCACATCTACCACTATCTATATCTAACCATCTCTGGGGACTACAACGGCCCCAGCTCTTCCACGAGAAAAGCTGTGTCTTGGGAAGGAGGCTGGAGTTCATCTGCATCCTCCTGCTGTCCCCACCCCTGCCTTCCTGACAGTGTCCAGGGCATAATACCTGAGCAGGGCTGCCCACCCCTGAAATTGAAGATTCACCCTCAGTCCCACTGGGAGAAAGTCTAATCCTCCCAGCACAAGGGTACTGGAGCCTGCAGCCCCTCTCCCTCCATGCTCACCCGGTGGTTGTCCAGATGGTCATGGTCTCTGTGTGCCATGTTATCAAGATCACTGAACAGTGGCCAATCTGGGCAGGGAGAAACAGAGATAATGTGTTTGTTCCACCACTGGAATATGCACAAGACCAACCTACAGCCCAAAGCAGACCACATCTGACACCAAGTTTTTATTAGTTATTTTTTTTAATTTTAAAGAAAGGCATAAAAAGGGAGAGTGTTGTCAGCACCGAGGGGCTATAGTTCTTTCTTGAGAACTTGTGGTAAGTCCGCTACTTGTGAAGTGAATGATCCTGATCAAGCAGCTTCACCTCCAAGCCTCCCTAGGGCTGTCATAACAAATGCCATTACATTTGTAATGCAATTACAGCATAGGCGCCTGGCCCACAGTTGGCCCCTGGTAAGCGGCAGTGGTAAGGTAAGAAAAGCCATATTTACATTTTGGGTCCAAGAAGACGGCCTCAGATAGCTTCAAAGCTAACCATCTCCTGATGACTCCCCATCTCTATCTCCTGCCCTCAGCTTTCCAGAGCCAAATCTGTCTGGCTACTTATTTTTACACAGATTAAAAAATGATTTTTTTTTTGGCTCAGCGCCTATAGCTCACCCGGCTAAGGCGCCAGCCACGTACACCTAAGGTGGTGGGTTCGAATCCCCAGCCCAGACCCGCCAAACAACAATGACGGCT